TCTGTCCCCCACCCCCATTGTTCTCCCCCAGCCCCACCTCCTGTGGATGTCAAGAAGCCCACAGGACGGGCTTTCAGAATGTTTGTGCGGGAGTGAGGAGAGAGTTTACACCATGGGGGCAGCACAGGATGGGGGACATTCCTCTCTCTGGATCCACTGGAGTCTGCAGGAGGGGATCTTCTCTAGGGTGACCAGACAGCACCCTAGAGAAAAATCAGGACGGGGTGGGGGGTAATAGGAGCCTATATAAGAAAAAGACCCAAAATCGGGACTGTCCCTATAAAATCAGGACACCTGTGAGTGTTAGGAAGATCTTTGTTCGGCACATGACAAGACTGAGCCGTCTGATTCCTTGTGCCAGCTGGTTATCCAAATGTTGTTACACAAAGAGCCTGTGTGCCTCCTTATACAAACTTCCTGGACCCAGATCCTTCAGTCAAAGCACTTCTCCAAAAGAGCAAAGGCAACACATTTAATTTTTTATTTGCATTAATAAATAATAAATAATTAATCTTTGAACCTCAAACTGTGAAGACAAAGTGAGTCCTCTCCAGAACAGGCGGGATCCTTAGTATGAGAGATGAGACTGAATTTCCTTTTATCTTTCTCCTCTAGGACATCAAAGACACCTTGAGCAGGTACGTGGCTCCTTCTCACTCTCCCTTTCGCTCCCCAATGCAGGGAAGGGGTTTTAAACATGACACATTGCTCCCCATAGTCCAGCAGTGCAGTGTGTGGGGTTGGTTCCCAATCTCTCTCCATTAAATCTGATCTTGGGGCTGTTGTCATTTTGGCTAGACTCCAGAATAGAGCAGCCTGAGAAAAGAGTGATTGACCTACAGACAGGGTATCAATTTATAGTGTAGCTGGTGGAACGGAGACCTCAGAAGATTGGGGATGGAGAATGGGTCTCTCATTTCTAGGTCATAGACTCCAAACTCCACCTAGGTTGGTAGGGATGGAAAGTCAGGGCCATCTGATGACTATTTAATGAGCTGTTATTAATTGTTTTTTATTTTGCAGTGAGCACTCTCTACCCACAGAGTCGGTGCCTATGTATCACAGGTCCTTAAATTTCACCCAGTTATTCCTGTATTCAGCCCAATAACTTGTATTTGACTAAATCCTAACGTGTGTTGATTGAAGCACCTTCCAGAAACTCATTTAGTCTAGAGCTAAAGACATCAACAGACAGTGACACTTGAAGCTCCCTAGAAGTGGGGGGTGGCCACCAGTGCCCAAACCGTGGCCCCACCCCTGCTCCACCTCTTCCCCCAAGACCCCACCCCTACTCAGTCCTCTCCGCCCCCTCCCCCCATCACTTGCCTTTAACGCAGGTAAAAAGGGTTTGAGCAGAGCTCTCCCACTTTTAAAAGTGATGGGGCCACAGCCCCCCTGTTCTGGTGCATCTGTCAAGAAATGGAGAATCCACCACTTCCCTTGGCAGTTTCTTTTAATGGTTAATGCACCTGCACTCTTCAAAACGTTTCTCTTATTTCCCATTTGAATTTCTCTGGCTTCAGCTTCCTACAATTGGTCCTTGTTGTGCCTTTGGTTGCTAAATTAAGGAGCTCTTTAGTAACAACTATATTCTCCCCATGATGGTTTTTATACCCCACACTCAAGTGCCAGTGTTCTCTCAGTGCAGAGCATTTTTACCACCCTCATATCAGTTTTGTGGGTCTTCTCTGCACCGTCTCCAGTATTTCAACCTCCATTTTAAAATGGGGACACCAGAACTGGAGGCAGTTTTCCAATATCGGTCTCACCAGAATGAAGGGGAAGCTTGTAGTGTCCAAGCTGGGATTGGACCAATTCCTGGGGCAAGAGAGACTTTAATCCTCCAGGGTCTGCTGAGCTACAACCATGCACTGGAGTAAAACACATTTTAGTAAAAAATATGACCGAACTCCACAACGAGTAACACTGGGTTGTTCTTCAGATCTGAGAGGGAGAAGTTTCAGAACCCAGTAGCCTTTTCTTCTGACCTGAAATGGAGAATCTGGGAATCTTTTCAAATAAATGCATCTCTGGAGAAAATAATGAAGAAATTCAAAGGTAATAACCAGTCACCTGGGGGATTTTCTCACATATATTACACCGATAATTGATAGAGCTGGGGAAATCTCTTAGGGACAATAATTGTGGATGGAGATGATCAACTAATCATTTGGAAGCTATGAATTCCCTCCTCAGCTCTCAATACAGCACATACACACTGGGTTCGGGGCCTACATTCGCACTCCCTCGGGTTTTTCCTTTCTCAGCAGCTATGAACGTTAACCTTAGCTTGAATTCACTGTTTTTGAAGTATGTTTCTTTGAATTTTTTTTGTCTGCAAGGCCTCCTATGTCATCATAGTCCCTCTCTTGCTTTAGAACAGGGGTGAGGAACCTTTTTTCTATCATGGGCCAGTGACCCACAGAAAAAAATCAATCTTGGGCCACTCACCCACACGGGGACAGAGAGGGGGCTTGGAGGCTCAGGGCTTCCCCCTGCAGCAGGCTGAGCCGGCGTCATGGCTCCAGCCCCACGGGGAGTACAGAGGACGTGGCACTGGAACAATTTTTACAGTGGGGGAGCTGAAAGCCAATGGTAACCAAATTTTTTACCTGGCACCTCCCTTACCCCTGTCTGTGTCCCCATCTCCCCAGAGCTGGGGCCAAGACTGGGCCGTGGCTCCAGGAAGGGGAGGTGGGATGCAGACAGGGGTAAGGGGGCTGAGGCTGGGACCACAGCTGGGGGCGGGAGCAGAGCCCCAGGTGCTGGGCCAGCAGATGGGAACCCGCCGGGGTGAGTTGGCACTTCCGGCTCCATTCCCATGGCGGGAAGGGGTGGTGGTGCTACAGGCCGGACAAAATTTAGCAACAGGCCGGATCTGGCCCATGGGCCATAGGTTCCCCAACCCTGCTTTAGAGATACTCCACCTTTTATCCTCCTGAGCTGGAGATAATGAGACCACCAGGGCTGTCAGGAAGGATGAGAAGTTTTACTGAGTACTAGTGGAACAGGGGCAGATTTAAAGTTGGTTGGATGCTAATCAGTGAAAATGTTTCTGTGTATGGGTCTGTCTGTGAATGATGTGTTGGTTACAGAGGATTTGTCTACACAACCATTAAACACCTGTGGCTTGTCCATGTCCGCTGACTCCGGCTCACGAGGTTCGGGCTCAGGCTGAAGCCTGGTCTCTGCGACCCTCTCCCATCACAGGGTCCCGGAGCCCAAGCCTCTGCCCAAGCCCGAGCATCTACCCTGCAATTAAACAGCCCCAGTGCCCGAGCCCTGCGAGCCCAAGTTGGCTGTCATGGGCCAGCCACAGGTGTGTAATCGCTGGTAAAACATCTCTGGGTCTGTTATGTAACCTTAGGTCATGCCCTTAGTTTTTAATGTTTGTGGTTATTTTTTAGTGATGTGTGTAATGGTTTGAATTGGTCTGAATTGTACTTAACCTCCTTAACTAGAACTTCATAAAGTTTTTTTTCTTTTCATTTTGCTTTTGTGATAGAACATTAACAATGTGAATATATCCCTAACCATGACAACCTGACATTTCATCTTTTTCACCCTTTTCTTCCTCTAGACTCATTGTCATCTAGACAGCGGTTGGACAAAGGTAAATTTCTGGGATCAAAGGGGGAGTGAAAACTTTCATATGAATTATGGTGGCTCATTGGCAGCACCATAGTTCAGGTTTTGTTTCAATTTTGAATTTGACAGGAGCTGGGCAACATATTACTGGTGGCTGCCCAGATCTTTCCTAAAAACAGAAAAGTCGATTCTTTTCTGTATTAGAATTTAGAATTTGTAACTAGTGGTTGGGGTAACCAGACGGGCTGCGGTGCAGGAGAGGAGGTGAGCAGTGTATCTCCGTAGAGACCTAAGAGTTTCAAAATGAGCCTTTTGGAAAATCAGAGAGGAACATCTCACCTCATTCTCAGAACTCTTTATGCCCATACATCACATCCCCTGGCCATATTATTATTATTAGCAAATGCACAAGTGGTACAATGAAGAATGGGAAAATTCAACATACAAAAATAGACATTTCTGTTTTCTCTCTACTTTATAAGTCAAAAGAAAAAATGTTAAAAATGTCCAAAGGGGTTAGGTAGACATCACCTATTAGCAGACATGCCAACTCTCACCAATTAATCATGAGAGATGCGATTTCTGAGTAAAATTAAGCCTCACTCATGATCTCGACTATAGAGCTGTGGCTGAAAAAAAATCCCGACATTTGAGAGTTCTAAAAATGAGGCTTCATTTTACTTAGAAATCCTGTCAGTTGCCCTGGGCGTGGCTGGGCTGCCCACTTTCAGCCACCTGAGTGCAGCTGCTCCCCTGCCAGCCTGGGAAGTGGGAGAGGGGCCCCCACTGTAGCCCCCAGGCCTAGGGAGGGTGAAGAACCCCAGGAGGAGCAGAGGTGAGGCTGGAAGGGCTTTATTATGGATTGGGGACCCTAGGGGGCCTGAAGTGAGTGGGGGGCTGATGCGCTGCGGGGGCTGTATTGATGGTGAGTTCTGAGCAGATAGGGTGATTGCTGGGAGGGTGAACAGAGGGCAGTGGGATAGGGGTGCTGAACTGATGGGGTGGTGATGATGGGGTCTGGGGACTGCATGGGGGGGTTGTATGGGGACAGAACTGATGGGGGGCTGGGGGACAGGATTAATTGCTGGGCTGGAGACGAGCAGATGTGGCGGTGAGAGCTCCTGGAACAGAAGCCAAAATCACCTTCTCCAGTACATGTGGGAGAGTGGGCAACACATGTCACAAGAAGGCTAACGGCATATTGGGCTGTATAAGTAGGGGCATTGCCAGCAGATCGAGGGACACAATCCTTCCCCTCTAGTCGACATTGTTAAGGCCTCATCTGGAGTACTGTGTCGTTTTGAGCCCCACACTGCAAGAAGGATGTGGAAAAATTGGAAAGAGTCAAGCAGAGGGCAACAAAAATGATTAGGGGGCTGGAGCACATGACTTATGAGGAGAGGCTGAGGGAACTGGGATTGTTTGGTCTGCAGAAGAGAAGAAGTGAGGGGGGATTTGATAGCTGCTTTCAGCTACCTGAAAGGGAGTTCCAAAGAGGATGAATCTAGACTGTTCTCAGTGGTAGCAGATGACAGAACAAGGAGCAATGGTCTTAAGTTGCAGTGGGGAGGTTTAGGTTGGATATTAGGAAAAACTATTTCACTAGGTTGGTGATGAAGCACTGGAATGGGTTACCGAGGGAGGTGGTTGAATCTCCTTCTTTAGAGGTTATTTCCTACCGCTGGGTAGGAAATATAGAAAATGTGGCAAAAGACCAACTTGGTTTAACCATGAGATCTTGCATGATCTAAAAAATAAAAAGGAATCATATAAAAAATGGAAACTAGGACAGATTACAAAGGATGAATATAGGCAAACAACACAGGAATGCAGGGGAAGATTAGAAAGACAAAGGCAGAAAATGAACTCAAACTAGCTAGAGGAATAAAGGGAAACAAGAAAACTTTTTATCAATACATTAAAAGCAAGAGGAAGACCAAGGACAGGGTAGGCCCACTGCTCAGTGAGGAGGGAGAAACAGTAACGGGAAACTTGGAAATGGCAGAGATGCTTAATGACTTCTTTGTTTTGGTCTTCACTGAGAAGTCTGAAGGAATGCCTAACACAGTGAATGCTAATGGGAAGGGGGTAGGTTTAGAAGATAAAATAAAAAAAGAATAAGTTAAAAATCACTTAGAAAAGTTAGATGCCTGCAAGTCACCAGGGCCTGATGAAATGCATCCTAGAATACTCAAGGAGCTAATAGAGGAGGTATCTGAGCCTCTAGCTATTATCTTTGCAAAATCATGGAATACTGGAGAGATTCCAGAAGACTGGAAAAGGGCAAATATAGTGCCTATCTATAAAAAGGGAAATAAAAATAACCCAGGAAACTACAGACCAGTTAGTTTAACTTCTGTGCCAGGGAAGATAATGGAGCAAGTAATTAAGGAAATCATCTGCAAACACTTGGAAAGTGGTAAGGTGATAGGGAACAGCCAGCATGGATTTGTGAAGAACAAATCGTGTCAAACCAATCTGATAGCTTTCTTTGATAGGATAACGAGTCTTGGAGATAAGGGAGAAGCTGTGGATGTGGTATACCTAGACTTTAGTAAGGCATTTGATACGGTCTCGCATTATATTCTTATCGATAAACTAGGCAAATACAATTTAGATGGGGCTACTATAAGGTGGGTGCATAACTGGCTGGATAACCGTACTCAGAGAGTTGTTATTAATGGTTCCCAATCCTGCTGGAAAGGCGTAACGAGTGGCTGAGTCGGAGACA